GACCTCGACTTCGTCTCGGTCCATAAACACGCAAAAAAAGAACTTGGCCAATATCCAGCCATCTTGACCTCACACTTGGTCAATAACTCATATACATCATCAACAGAAAATATTTTCTCTCGACATCACTTTATCACTTGCAAAAAGTTTCGGCAAGAGAAAGTGATTTCGGACGATTTTATTTTCGGACCAAAAAGGTTCCGAGAATAAAACAGTCTTAAATTTTTTGAAAGTAATCTAATCGATAAACTGACACCACCACATGAAACATAACATTGAGATTAGTCATTTACATTTGGCCAAGTTTGTAAGGCTGAACAGAGACCAAGTTTGTTGACCTTGAAACATGGTTCAAACCACAGAAGCATCACTAATTTTAATTTAAGAAGCGTCCCCATAAACCATGTAAACTCTTGTTTGTTTGTTTTTATTTAATTCTGTGATACTCTTAAACTGTAGAGAAACACACTCATTTTGCTCTCAGCTTCTTCCAAATACCGTAAATCCTCGAATTAGCGCCCGTGGCGCTTATTCCAAATTTAGGAGAAGACTTGGGGCGCTTATTCGAAGGAGGCGCTTAATCGGGGGGAGCGCTTATTTAATTTTTCCCAAATCGTGGTCAGATATGATCGGCTTTTTTGTAATATATGTATGTGACAGTCTCTCAGAAGTCTCAGAAGGATCCTGTCTCTCTTGAAGAACTATGTGAGATCTGTTGCGACGGTCAATGTGCAGTGTTTGAATACCTGTCGATAATCACTTACTTGTGATTGAACACGACCAAAACTGTAAATCCCTTGTTGTCTCAGTAATCTTCCATAAAACAGGGGGAGGGGAGGGGGCGCTTTTTGGAGGGGAGGCGTTAATTCGAGGATTTACGGTAGTAGGTGTTTGACGGGATTTTACAGTTGTCACAAAACTGATTACTGACTTTTAGTAGACTTGCCACAAGTCGACGTTTACTAATCCTTCCCTTATTCATCTTCCTCGAGCGAAGCGAGAGAGCAATCTTCGAGCGACGAATTCGCGAGCGTGAAAACTAACAATGGAAGTATTATTGGAACTGACTTTCAGAAAGTCCAACTTTTGGGGGCTTCTGAGTTTTGGTCAGATCCTCGCGGGACTCATCCTCGGAGGCCAGGGGCAGCATTCGGAACGACGCGATATTTTCGGGGGAACATATTTTCGGTCGAAGGTTTACATCAGGGTTTCACATCAAGAGCTTTCGCCCAAAAATATCTTCCCCCGAAAATATTGCGTCGTGCCGACTGCTGCCTCTGGGTCTCCGGGGATCCGCCGGACTACAAGTAGAATCTACCTGAGATCCCCTTTGGTAGTCCTGATTAACCAATGAAAGGAAAACAGAGGGAGTTAAATCTGTCTAATTTTGAGGCATTTGAAGTGCCTTTTTTTGCATACTTTGGAAATGACTTTTAAGTCATAAAAGTCTGCCGGTGCCGATACCTTCAGACTATCCTGCCCCGAATGTTTCTTTTCGTGTGGGTATGTAGTAAACATGTTTCGCATGCAGTCAGTTTACGGTTCCCCCTTGTTTCAAGCAATACTCTTTAACAACACGTATTTCTGTAATTTGTTGAGGCAAAGTGTGATCATTTTGTCTGAAAAACGCCCTGCAAGGTCTGAACGGAAAGAGATCTTTTGCATATCAATACACATATAACGTAACAGTAGAGTTTTATTTACAATAAAAGTAGTAGTTTAAAGATTTTTTTCTTTGAAAAACCTTAGTTAAGGGAATTACAATTTGACAATGCTGTTAACGCAAGGTAAGAACAGAAAACAGCACAGTTACAATGATATAAAAGTGATCGAAATAAAATGAGGTAACGTTCACAAAATTGTAAAAAAATTGTTGCAAACTTTAAACTCGCATCGAAGAAAAAAAAAAACATAGAAACAAGACAAAAAGCCTCAATAACTTGTTGGCAAAATCGTGGCTGCGTCCCAACTGTCTGTTACTGGTTTGGTTCAAACGTCAACGCTTATATTGATTTATTCATGAACAAAGGTCACGCATGCGTTCAAATGCAACCACTTCACGTGACTCCCCAAGTTTGCCTCACTGCAATGTAAATTGAAAAATAGATAGCAGAAAAAAATTTCCTACAAAAAGAAAGCGTAAAATTGCTGAAAAACAAACAAACAAACAAACAAAAAAAGCTTAGCGTTGTAAATTGCAAAACACCTAGAAATGCAAAGCCTAACGGCAATAATGTGAAACATAAAATCAAGAAAAGAAAGCTACAAAATAACAAAAAAAACAAGCTGCCAAAAAACGCAAGCAGTAAAATTGCAAAATACTTAGAAATGCAAAAACCTAGCTGCTAAAACTGACAAAATTGCTAAAAACCTAGAAATACAAAAACCTAGCTGCTAAAATTGCTAAAAACCTAGAAATGCCAAAACCTAGCTGCTAAAATTGCCAAAATTGCTAAAAACCTAGCAATGTAAAAGCCTAGCTGCTAAAATTGCAAAAATTGCTAAAAATCTAGCAATGCAAAAACCTAGCTGCTAAAATTGTTAAAAACCTAGAAATGCAAAAACCTAGCTGCTAAAACTGCCAAAATTGCTAAAAACCTAGAAATGCAAAAACCTAGCTGCTACACCCGCAAAATTGCTAAAAAAAAAACTAGAAATGCAAAAACCGCCAAAATTGCTAAAAAAAAAAAATGGAAATGCAAAACCGTAGCCGGCAGAATGAAAAATCAAAAAGAAAGGAAAAAACAAAACAAAAGAAAACAACAACAACAACAAAAGAAAACACAGAGAGAAAAAACAACAACAACAACAACAAAACAGAGAAAAAAAACCCGAGAAGCTGCGAAATTTACATAGCAACAAGACAAACGAATCAAGTCACGTGAAGTGGCAACATGAACACTTGCATGACTTAAATTCAAGAATGATTCTATATCGGCATATCTGATTGGACAAAAAAGTAACCAACAAGTTGAAACACCTGCAGTTTGACGTCACATTAGATCTTGCTACTCCACTTCACAGACAAGGGGGACGCAATCCATTGCAATGGTCTTTTTTTTGCTACTGTACAATTACACTGCTATCAAGATTAACTTTGGAAAAAAGAGTTTTGGTAAGAACTGGAAAAACTGAGAAAGTAAAATATTGTTCGGGGATTAGTTGTAGCTTCTTGTTATAATCAGCTCCTTAAAAAACTGCAATAAAACTGAAATTTGAAGTGTTTTAAGTTACGTATTATTTTACAGCGTATTTCATGTTAAACCATTTTGTTTTCAGAAAGAATATCTCCACAAAAATATTTACAATGAAAATGATAAGCCACCAGCGATTTCTTCAATAACAAGAGAACTGGACCTGGAAGATAACGAATACATAAGTTTAGCACGACAGCATTGACTTATTTTTGATAAAACCTTCAAAATCTTTACTTAATAATTATTTTAGCTATACAATTTGGGCCAAATTTTTAACGATAAATTACAGAGTTACTGGGCTTACAACTCAAATTATTTCGTGTTAATATCCGTGAAGGAAACAGTATTTTTTTTTTTTAAACCCATCAGGAACAACACCGAATTCAGTGCCGCGAAAAGAGTTCCTCGACATTTCTAGCAGGGTACGGACCGAGTGCCTAACTCAATACCAGTCCCCCGTTACAAGCTTAGCGCTAAGAGCATCCGGGGGACGGGTGGAAGGACGCGGCACGAGTTCGTATCTTATGTCCCTGTTCATGTCTCTCACCTTACAACTGTAATCCAGTTGGACAGTTATAAATTTCATTTTTTCTTGTAAGAAAAACAAGGGCATCAGTAAGTTTTTGTTCGCAGGCCTTGTGCTGATCTGTTTTACGCCAGCCTGGAAAGAAACAACAACACAAAATTTAACTTATTATGACTAATTCTCTAAGGAAAAAACGGCATCTTTGCGTGTGTGGCAAAGTTTTTTCGAATTAACTCACTTTCGTATTTGTTATTTTAGCCAACCGTATCATAATTTAGTACAGTTCTATTATACTGACCAGTTATCTGGAGCTGGTATTATTTTGGGAAAATTAATACCGCAATCTCGGAAAATCATATTCCAATGCACAATTGTAAACTAAAATGTACTGTATAGTAAACAGAGTTGGATCTTAACGCAGAAAATCTATAAATTATACAGAGACAAAAAGTGACCTTATGTTGTTTAGTCTGAGCAAAAACAGGATTAAAAATAAAAATCATGGTCTAGTGATTGGTACATAATATATGTCACCTTCAAGTTGAAACAGGAACATGAGTTCCTGGCTGATCCCAGTAATACATTCTTCCAAGTTCTCTTCTCTGCTCCTAAAATCAAAGTTAAAATCACTAATTATGAAAGAACTATTGATAACCCGCCGTCTATTTTACCATTAATCAGATCTGTAATCTATCTAACATTTGCTAGGAAAGATTAAACAAAACATAGAATTATAAAGCAGAAAATAGTTTTACTTACAGGATTTCAAGATCTCGTTTCCTGATGATAAGTTCAGCCCTGCATTTGTTGAGTGAGATCCAGTCTTGAGTTAGACCCTCGAGTTCTTCTTCACAGCCTGGAAAAAAAAGATCAATTAGAGAAAAGTCTTCAAAAGCCAAGTGGCCGCCACTGCCACAGCGTATTCAGGTTTCAGTAGTGTGGAGATCAGGCTTCTCCCCTCCCCACTGAATGAGATATTAGCCTACCTTCCTCCCCACCCACTCTTTCCCGGAATATTTTGACAGGATTCCTTAGCAGTGCATTAGCACCCGTTGATACATCTGGATAGAGACAGATACTGGGTGTTTAAATACTGACCTTTTGTCTTATTTGCACCCTGCATTTCGTTTTTGAGTTTGGTGCTGACTTTCTCTAAAGAAGCTATTTCGTCTTGGAGGAGAGAAGTCTCTTCTCGAATATACACAAAAAGTTCTGGGCAATGCTGACTGATAGGTGAAACAATCTGAAATGCAAAGAATGAAAATAAATGGATTGTAGCAAATTTTCAGGGGGGCTTATTATCTGGCGGAAGGCTTATAATGGGAAAAAAAAATGAAATAGTTTCCAACGTTTTTGCCATTATAATTGGAAGATATGTATGTTTTGCATGAAAAACTGTAGGTAACTACAAATACAGGATATTGTAGGACTCAAACCACAGTTGCAAAGTACGTTACTCCTAGCATACCATGACATACAAACGTTACATAATGGCGGGTTTAAAATCGATAGAAGTTGATCTTTCTTTTCGGCTGATTTTAATTATACAACTATCGACCTTTTTCGTAGAGAGGGGGCTAAAAAAGCGATTTTGATTCAAAAGTACCTAATGTACCTAAATACCTTGCTTTCATGCCAGTTATTTTGGATGGGATTTGAAGACTCAACGTCTTTCACTACAATGCCTTCTTCAGGTACAGCGRTATAAACTYCAGTCRGAYAACCAACTGCRTCGCCAGGGGTTGAAGTCACAGGGTCAGTAGTATCAGGGGCACTTGCCTCTTGGTRGAAAGTTGCTTCCTRTTTAGAGGGAGAAGCCTCCARAGATGGGATGGGGCAGATCTCAACATTGGAGAGGCCATGACTAAGAGAAGGACCCTGTCCAGGAGTGCTGTAGTGACCATCATCACCCTCCTCTTGTTTTGACGATTCCTCGAGATCAACTGAAACAGACTTTGCCCTCTTGAGGATGGCCTTGTCCTGAATGTGTTGTGTTTTTGACATGACAGCAGTGCCTGGTATTCTATCACCAGAAGTGTAGATGGCACCATGGTATCCCTCCTTTGGCCTCGAAGATTCCTTGCCCTTAGCTCTTTTCAGCTTTTTACGAGCAAAATGGACATGACGCTTTGCTTTCTTTAGGAAAGGCTCATTCTGAACAAGTGGTGTCTTCAGTGGGACAGTGGTGCTTCGTTCATCATCTCTGCTATCATTCTTTGAAATGTGGGCGTCGCCATTTTTCGTCAAGTTATTCTTTTCATCAGCTTGATCAAGATTCTTGTTCATGCATTCTCTGTCACTCGCCTCAACATCTTTCGCAGGTGTCTCCTTGTTGAAATTTGATGCATTCTCCGATGACAAAATACTTTGCTTGTCATCAGGTTCTTTTTTACCCAAAGCATCAAATTCCTTGGGATACTTATCACCTTGCTTATTTGATGCCCTTTCCTCGGTTTGGCTCGATGAGCTTTTCACTTCCTTGACCACACAGTTTAGTTGACTTGATGGAGGGAGCTGAGGTGGGCATGGTTCTGATGGAGCAGACTGAGGTGGAGGGTGGTATGGAGCTTTGCTATCAATCTTCCTCTGTCCTGCAGCCTCTTGAGAATCACTGGCTGCAGTGTCTGACACTGGAGCCTTGTGTCCAGATGTCTTCTGTGAGCTGCTCTGTGAATCTTGACCGTTGCTTTTCCTCGCCTTCTGTAGTGATTTCTTCCTCTCTAGCTCTGCTATAGCATCATTCATGATCTCATCGAAGATTTCCTTATCAGTGCAACTGCATAACAATGAAAGAACAGAGGGATCGAGTAAGTGACTGAGGAAACATGTAGTTAATTTGTTTAGGTGTGAGGTCTTTGCTAAGTGAATTTAAAAGCAACAAAAATCCATTGGACAAACTAAGGGACAGACAGACTGACGAATGGTTGGCTGGAAAGATACCTAGGGTATCCTATGGTAGATGCCCAAGGGTACTCCCAGAATAATTGGATGGGGGTGTGCGACCCACTTCCCAAGACCCTTTCTCTATTTATGACCAAAACTTGCGATTTTCCCTGCCCTATTTATGACCTGACACAGTTGCCGTACACATAATTTGTGAAGTGCTTTTGTTGATGGTCTTATCGACAGAGATGAAAAAAGTACCTTCTTCTAATTTTAAAAAATATCCAATTCAAGACTAGAGTGCAAAAACCATACCCAGTTTCAGACCAAAATGGCCAAAATCAATACCCTATTAATGACCAAAACAGTTGAAAAACCATACCCTTTGGGGCCGCACATACCTATATAGCCCATATAAGGGAGTA